CCCTTCCCACCTCACTGACCAATCCCCACCGCTGCCTACCTGCACTCACCTATCGCCATCCCACCTCCCTTCCCCAGCCCCACCCCCCTCTTTATTTATTTCAGAGACCCCTTCCCCCTCCCCCATTTCTGAAGAAGGGTTCCAACCCGAAACACCAACTTTCCAGCTCCTCTGATGCTGCCTGGCCTGCTATGTTCCTCCAGCTCCACACTGTTATCTCATCTTACATTTTCTTCTATTGCAAAACGTTTTAAATTATGCTCTCTGGTTTTAGGTTTATGCCTTCTCCAGTCCATCTAGATGTGTGAGCAGCAACGGTCTGATCTCAATTCTAAATTCACCTTCAGAGGGAAAAAGGAATACAGGGCCTATAATATGTGGAAATGAATGCACTAATTGTATTGGAGCTCCATTTCAGGTATATAAGATGCGTTGGACCAGTATGCATCATTTGCAAGTTTTACTGGTTTTTCTTTATGTTTGTGAATCCTTGTTCTGTAATGTGGTTAAAGCATACCAATTATTGAAAAATGGCCATCAGAGTACAAGTTATGAAATGAAACAATTCATGTCTAACTCCTTTATGTGCTCTCTGTGTCCAAATGCATCAAGACCTGGATAGTATCCAGATTTGGGCTGAAAAATGGCAAATTACATTTGTGGCATAGAAGTGCTAGGCAATGACTATCTCCAATAAGAGAGAATCTAACTATTGCCCCTTGACATTCAGTAGCATTACCATCACTGAACCCCTGACTGTCAACTTCCTGGGGGATACCATTAACCAGTACTGAACTGGACTAGCCATATAAATACTATGGCTACAACAGCAGGTCAGAGACTAGGAATCTTGAGTGAGTAACCACTTCTTGATTCCTCAAGGCCTGTGCATTGTCCACAAAATGTAGGTCAGGAGTGTGATGGAATACTCCCTGTTTACCTGGATGAGTACAGCTCCAACAATTCAAGAAATTTTATTCTGGTCAGGACAAAACAGCTTGTTTGATTGGCAACACAAAACATTCACTCCCTCTGCCACCAATGCTTATTAGCAACAGAACATGGGAACACAACTGCCTGTGAATTCCCCTTCAAGTAACTTACTTTCTTGACTTGGAAATATATCATTGATAATTCAGTGTTGCTGGGTCAAAATCTTTGAATTCCCTCCCTAAGGGCATTGAGGTCTGCCTACAGCACTTGGACTGCAGTAGTTCAAGAAGGCAGCTCACCACCATCCTCTCAGTGGCAAACCAGGGTTGGCAATAAATGCTGTCCCGTGAATGAATAATAAAATGTTTAGGAATTAAATTTCAAATGTATAGGTAGGTACGTCCCCAGGTAGAAGATAAGAAATATGGCAACCAATTTGTGCACATGCACAAAGAGAAATGCGCCCATGATTGGATAATCTGTTTCAGTGATGTTAGTTAAAGAGTAAGTGTTGGCTAGAATGTGAGGGAAATTGATTTTGGCACACCTTTTGAAAACCTGTGACAACACAGCACTCCCTCAGTACTGCAGTGAGTGCACATGCTCTGAATGGGCCTTTGAACCTACAACTGTCAGGGTCGTCAGATCATGCATTGAACCACAGCCGACAGACAACATGTAGGAGTATTAGGACACTTGAAGAAGAAGAAAAACCTGCAATTATTTAGTGCTGTTCCTGACCAGCAGATATCTCAAAGTGTTTTGCAGCCAACGTACTACTCTTTGGATTATAACCACTGCTAATAATACAGGATATAAGTGCACAGCAAACATCAAACTCACACAGACAGCACTGTGCTAATGATAAAATAATATATTTTCGTGATGTTGATTGAGGAAAAAATATTGACTGGGGATCTAGTGGTAACTCCCTGTTCTTCAAATTAATGTCTTGAGATTTTTTTTACATTCACCCATGTAGGGCCTTAGTTGAATGTCTCTTTTGAAAGAAGTCATCTCTGCACTTCCTCCGTGCTGCACTGGAATGTCAGCTGTGATTTTTGTGCTGAAGTCTCAGATTGGGATTGAAACCCCATAACTGATATAATAACTGATGGCCCAGGCAGAGGGTCGTGAGGGGGTGGTGGTACCCAACTGTTTGCCACTCTTATATCATGTTCAGGTGTCCTCAAAGAAGGGGCATGTAGAGACCACTGGCTGGCATGGTAAGGCCTTCCATATTAGGTGGGGTCACCAGGAGTGGTGTGCATTATCACTCTGGAAATTAAGTTAATGTTGATAAATTTACATTGACCTTTAGATTTTTTGTTACAGTGCTGTCTAATCCATTTTGTTTTTCTTAACAGTTTCCTTAAAAAGAGTAGAAGGAAGCTGTTTGGCTGGTCTTGTACCAGCTCTCTAAATGAGCAACTCCTGGCCCCTCCTTTTCCCCCTGATGCCACATGTTCTTCCTTTTCAGTTAGCAGTCTAACTCTCTTTTAGAAGCCTCGGTTGAACCTCCTTTCATCATACTATCAGGCAGTGAATTCCAGATCCTAACCACTTGCTGCATGAAAATCTTTTCACTGATATCACTTTTTAAACATAATTACTTTAAACCTATGTTCTCTTATTCTCAATGCTTTCACAAGTGAGAACAATTCACTGTTATCCACTCTGGCCAGGCTACCTCGCAATTTTGAATGCATCTACCAAATTTCCTCTCAGTCCTTTTATCTTGAGGGAAGCAGTCCAAACTTCTCCAATCCTTCTTTACAATTGAAGCTCCTCATTCCTAGATCCATTCTCATGAAACTTTTCAACACACTCTCTAATGTCTTCATATCCTTCCTAAAGTGTGCCAAGAGCCTCACCAAAATTTGATAAATTATAGTCATGCAGCATAGAAACAGGCCCTTCTGCCCACCATATCTATGCCAACCACCAAACACCAAGAACTCTAATGCCATTTACCTGCGCTTGATCCATAGCCTATGTTCTAGGCCCAAAACGTCAGCCTTCCTGCTGTGTTCATCCAGCTCTACACCTTGTTATTCCAAACTCCAAGACCTAGGTCTCTGCCCCACTCTCTGCAACTGGATGCTTGACTTCTTGATCCACAGACCACAATCAGTGAGAATAAGAAACAACACTTCCTCCATGATAATCCTCAACACCAGTGCCCCGCAAGGCTGCATATTCAAGCCCCTACTGTACTCCTTATACACTCAGATCTCTGTGTCCAAACTTTATCCTAACTCCAACCACAAGTTTGCTGATGACACCACTGTTGTAGGCTGGATCTCAAACAATGACAGACAGAATGCAAGAAAGAGATGGAGTGCTTGGTGGCATGGTGTGAAGATAACAATCTCTCCCTCAATGTCAGCAAAATGAAAGAGCTAGTCATTGAATTCAGGAAGCAAAGTGAAGTGCATGCCCTTGTCTGTATTAATGGTGCTGAGGCAGAGATGATCAAGATCTTCAAGTTCCTAGGAGTGACAATCACCAACATCCTGTCTTGGTCCACCCACATTGATGTGGCGGTCAAGAAAGCACAATAATGCCTCTACTCCCTCATGAGGCTAAGGAAACTTGGCATATCTGTAAAGATTCTTACCAATTCTTATAGATGCACTATAGAAAGCATTTTATCCAGATCATCACGGCTTGGAATGGAACTGCTCTGCCCAGGACCGTAAGCAACAACAAAGAGTTGTGAACACAGCCCAGTCCATCATGCAAGCCAACCGTCCATCCATTGACTCTATCTACACTTCTCGCTGACACGTTGTGGCAGCCAATGTAATCAAAACTCCCCCAAACCGGTTATAATCTCTTTGAACCTCTTCTATCAGACAGAAGATACAAAAGCCTATATAGATACATACATACATATATACATACATATATACATACCAACAGATTCAAGAACAGCTTCTCCCCCGCTATTATTAGACTCTTGAATGAACCTCTCAGATTTTGAATTTAATGTTGATCTTGCTCTTGTGCACTTTCTCTGCAACATTGCATTCCGTGGTCTTCTAGTACCCTAATGCACTTTGTGCCTGTTGTGGTTGGTTGCCTCGCCGAGCTGGTTTGTTGTTCCGCAGACGTTTCATTACCGTGCTGGGTAACATCATCAGTGCAGCCTCCGATGAAGCACCATTGTGTTTTCCCACCTGTTATTTAAACTCTAGTGTCCGTTGAGCTGGATTACCTCACTTCCAATTTTCCTTCGCAATGGAGTGTATATGGGATCTAGCTCTGTGTTTGTTGATGGCTTTCTTAATGGAGTACCAGGCTTCTAAGAATTCCTGTGCTTGTCTCTGCTTTATCTGTCCCAGGATCCTGTTGTTGTCCCAATCGAATTGGTGGTTCTCCTTATGCATGTGGATGGAGATGAGTGAGTATTGGTCGTGTCTTTTTGTTGCCAATTGATGTTCATGTACCCTTATGGTTAATTTCCTTTCTGTCTGTCCAATGTAATGTTTGTTGCAGGCTTTGCAGGGAATCTTGTATATAACATTGGTCCTGTCCATAGTGGATGGTGGGTGCCTGTACTGCACGCAAAACAACACTTTTCACTGTACCTAGATATGTGTGACAATAATGAATCAAATCAAATCAAATCATAGTCTGTAATACCCTTCATAGGTAAATAGCATCTGAACTCATACATGAAGAATAAGGATTTGAGACTGGTAGTGAAGAGTGGAAACCTCAACAGGCTAGCAGCCAAACAGAATTTAGTTCCTTTTAGGGCAAGGTTGTTGAGGGGCTGGGGAGTGTGCTGTGGTAAGAGACAGGTTAATGAAAAGGAAATAATGAAAGCAGTTGAAACAGGTTGAGTATCAAGGACTGTTGGTATCTGTGGAGTGAACTGGGAGACTCCAGCAGTCACAAGATATAGTGTGCAGGTTTTTTTTTAAATTTCCTGTGCATGATGCTTGGAATTTTATGGAGAGGAACTGGGCAGTTACCTTAGTGCACACCACTGTTCCCTGCCCACTTGCTGGTGCTAAATCTGATTGGAGTTGGGAAGTCTGACTGGCTGTAATGTGACACTACAATCAGAACTCAAACAGGTTTAAAGCAACGCAATTCACCAGGGAGACACGGCACAGTAATCTCATACTTATCAAGCTCAAAGTAAATGTAAGTATTTTAAGATATTTACCAAAGTTTATCTTTCCTGTGTTTCCAGTTTCTGTCTGCTAGTGTGGCTTGCTGTGTAGCTGTAAACACTAAGCTATTGCTTCTCATTTTCGAAATGATATGGCTTTGGCAAAATAATAACACTGCCCTGGTATCTCAGTATCAAAAACTCTCACAATCTTACAGTCCAGACCTCCCACTGGGGTGTGTGTTCCCTGAGCACTGCCTCACTGAGCTCTAGGTGTCCTGGGCAGGGGTCTGGGTTCTTTTGACACTGCTTCTCATTGAAGTTGAGATTCCGTTTGCACTGTGTCTCACTTTGATTGAGATTTCCTGCGCACTGCCTTTGAGTGGGGTCTACTGTTTTCACCCGATCTGGCTCCAGAAGTCAGCACGTCATCAAACTGCTGTGAATGTCAGTGTTGGTTTGATTGTGCAGAAAGACAGCCACAAGGCTGAAGAATTTTGCTACCAACGCATTCTGTCCTGTTTGAACTTCCACACACGATCGCTTCCTACTAGGTTGGAAAGTCTGAGGCTAGTGACTAGTAGTTCTTAACTGAGACCTCTCAGCTTTGTACAGATCAGTGATGAAATACTTGACCATCCTACGCTTTTTCACTCAGTCGCTGACAGAACTCAGTACAGTGTCTGAACTATCAGAGAGAAATACTTTAGGCCAGTTTCTATAGATAGTTTTGCTGACATTCTCAGTGAGGTGACTGGTTTTGAGTAATGTATTAATTCAACAATGCATTTCCTGTTTTTCCACTGTGTGTGTACAACTTTGTGGTTTGATTCCATTTAATCACTTCTAATCCATATCCCTTGTGGTCCTTATCAAAGAAAAATTTACTGATTTCAGACTTGAAAGCTTCAGTCGACTGTGACATACACAGCTGTTCGGTGGAAAGAGTTACAGATTTCCAACTCGCTCTATGTGAATAAGTACTTCCTGATTCCTGAAGAGCTCGACAGTCATTTTAAGATGAAGCCTCCTTATCCTGGGTTGGCCCTACCAGAGGAAATCATTACTTTGTATCTGTGCAGGTTCCGTTGTCTTCCTTGGAAGTTAGAGGTCAAAGGATAATTTGGTCAAGGTGTATAAAAACATTAAAATAATAATGGCTTTAGAGATGGTATCCAGAGAAAAACAGCTTCCCAGGTGGATGTGAGAGATCAGAAGAACATAAGAACCAGGAGCAGGAGTAGGCCATCCTTTGAGCTTGCTCCACCATTCAATAAGATCATGGCTGATCTTTTCGTGGACTCAGATCCACTTAACCACCCTCTCACCATAACCATTAATTCCTTCACTGTTCAAAAAATTACCTACCTTAGCTTTAAAAAGGTTCAATGAGGAAGTCTCAACTACTTCACTGGGCAGGGAATTCTACAGATTCACAACCCTTTGGGTGAAGACGGTGCTCCTCAATTCAGCCCTAAATCTGCTCCCCCTAATTTGAGGCTCTGTCCTCTTGTTCTAGTTTTCACCCGCCAGTGGAAACATCCTCCCTGCTTCTATCTTATCTGTTCCCTTCATAATTGTATATGTTTCGATAAGATGCCCCCTCATTCTTCTAAATTCCAATGAATATAATCCCAGTCTACTCAGTCTCTCCTCATAAGCCGACCTTCTCAACTCCAGAATCAACCTCGTGAACCTCCTCTGCAGCCCCTCCAGTGCCAGCACATCCTTTCTTAAGTAAGGAGACCAAAACTGCACGCATTACTCCTGGTGCAGCCTCACCAGCACCCTATATAGCTGTAACATAACCTCCCTGCTTTTAAACTCAATTCCTCTAGCAACGAATGATAAAATTCCATTTGCCTTCTTAATGACCTGTTGTACCTGCAAACCAATTCATGCACAAGGATACCCAGGTCCCTCTGCACAGCAACATGCTTCAATTTTTCACCATTTAAATAATAGTCCTTTTTACTGTTATCCTTACCAAAATGGATGACTTCACATTTATTTACATTGTATTTCGTCTGCCAGACCTGTGCCCACTCACTTAAACTACCAATATCCCTCTGCAAACTTTCAGAGTCTTCTGCTCACTTTGCTCTGCCATTCATCTTAGTGTCATCTGCAAACTTTGAAACACTACACGTGGTCCCCAACTCCAAATCATCTATGTAAGTTGTAAACAATTGGGGTCCCAACACTGATCCCTGAGACACACCACTAGTCACTGATCGCCAACCATTTATCCCCACTTTTTGCTTTCTGTTCATTAACCAATCCTCAATCCATGTTAATACATTGCCTGTGACGTGGCAATACTAAATCTGCAACAATTTAATGAATGATGTTGAACCTGTTGGACGACTATGGCTGTTATCAACATCCCAGTTTATTCTACATTTTAATTCTGGTGATTTTAGCACTTTAGATTTTAACCCATTCTCAGCACGGATCCTGCAGTCAGACAAATACATGTTTTTGTCTGTTTTCTTGCCTTGTGATATCATACACAGCTGCCATTCTTTATTCAACATTTATATTTCAGAATTGATTAGCTATTTGACTATGGATTGCACCATATTGGATTGATGGGCAATCAGTCTGTTCTGCTAATGTGAACTTCCAGGTTGGTAGCCATTTGATGTTTGTCAGCAGTGGAACCCTTAGATAACTTCTGCCTATTTTTCTCTGACTGAATTGCCCCTCGTTGAATACAAAGACTCATCTCAGTTGAGATCAGCTTTGATGTGAGTGAAAGCTGAAGGCACACTGATCTGTCTGGCTTAGTGCCACATGAGTGAATGCATTTACCAAGGAACAGGCTAGCCGTCGAGTAAAGAGGTGTGACTCTCCTATAAGTACAAATTGCAAGTGCATGGAGCACTGACCGAGATCACACTGTGAGGACAAGAACTCTGGGGGCAAAAACAGAAGTTGCTGGAAAAACTCAGCAGGTCTGGCAGCATCTGTAAAGAAAAAAATCAGAGTTAACGTTTTGGGTCAGGTGACCCTTCCTCAGAAGGATTTTTTCTTCACAGATGCTGCCAGACCTGCTGAGCTTTTCCAGCAACTTCTGTTTTTTTTTCGCCTGATTTACAGCATCCGCAGTTCTTTCGGTTTTTAACTCTGTTTGGGGTTCCATTTGGAACTTTACCAGAGCAGTTAATAGATAATTTTGACCTGGCTGATTGAGTAAAACTCAGGGTGAATAATTGTACAGCATGGTCAATTGGTATAAAATTTGTATTTCAGCACTAGTTGCCTCTCAAGCACTGTTTACTGTACAGCTTGATTCATCAAATTGTTGCAGATTTATCATCGCCACTAGTGAGCACAATTGTTGTATGTTATCTGTTAATGATGCAGCCTCAGGCATAGCTATCTATTAGCTAGATAGAACAAACACAACATGACTGCTGATAGCAGCTGAACACCTTGTAAGCATGGATTGGAGGTTCATGGTTATATTATTATAGCCCAGTGTTTGATTGTGCTGTGCCCAGTAAGGCTTAATTTCTGAAGCTGCTGAACAAATTACATTATTGAAACTCAAAGCAGGCTCTGTTAATAAATTGATAGAAACTTGGATAAATTCAGGAAAGGACATTAAATTGATCACAGAAATGGGTAAGTAGTGTATCAAGTTTGCTGTACTCACAAAAAGACCCCGGTTTAAAGCCAGACAAATTCATTCTAGGAGTCTTGTGGTGCAATGGTAATGTCCTTCCCTCAGGGCTAGAAGATTTGGGTTCAAATCTCACCTGCTCTGGAGGTGTATCATGACATGTCTGAATAGATTGATTAAAAATAATTTATAAATTGAATGTCTTTCCACTGAGCAAATGGATTGGGGAGTAAGGTGTGAGGGTGAGGGGATGGATCTTTGAAAGATATTCAAGATTGTCAGATATAAAGGTTCCTAAAGAAGGATTGGCATTTATAAAGCACCATTTCCTGTCTCAAGACATCCCAAAGTGCTTTATTGCCCATAAAGTATGTTTTGAATGTATGTCACTAATATAAGGCAGGAAATGCTGCAGCCAATTTGTAGACAGCAAGCTTCCACAAACAGAATTGTGATAACAACCAGATAACCAGATAATGTGATATTGATTGAGGGCTAACTATTAGTGTGAATGCTGGGGATCTCTGCTCTTTGAAATAGTGCCATTGGATTTTCTTTACACCTCACTGGGAAATCACACAGAAGATACCACTGAAGTATGGCTTGTAGCTGAAACTTTTTCCAAAACTGAAATGCCATTGACATCTTTTGAGTTAAAATGCATTCATAGAGATTGTGCTGTGTGACTGTGAGTTTTATGAATTAACTTGCTTGGTTGTTTGTCTTCCTTTGGTGTAACCAGCATCAGATCAGCTGGTGATTGCTGTGCTATTCCTGGGTGTGTCGGCTCAAGACCAGGTGGAGTAACTGCGCAACTTCATACGCAGTTCAATCTTTCAACTCATTTTTAATTTCCTATTTTTAGTGTGAATAATTCAGATTAGTAAATCTGAAAGGCATGTGAGCATGCGTATATGGTTAGAGAGAGAGAGAGATCAGGTTTAAAAGATGAAGGAATATTGGCTGAGAAAACTTCCTACCCCTCGAATTCTGCTGTGGGATCTTTTCTGTTCATCCAAACAGGCAGACTAAAAAAACTAATAGTTCTCTCCCTTTGGGTGTTGCAAATCTGGCATCATCACCATTCTCCTCAAAAAATAAACCCTGACCTCACCATCCTTGGAAACCAACGTTTAATCTCCAGCCTCCCTTTCCTCTCCAAAGTGCCTGAGCATCATATCAGCCTTCAAATCTGTCCCCGTCTTTGCCAGAACTCCAATTTGGATCCCTCCCCACCCCTGCTGAAACAACACTATTGACATCCAATGTGACTGTGACAAAGGTAAATTTTCATTCCCCACCCTTCTTGACCTGTCTGCAGCCCTTGGAACAGTTGAACATACCATCTGGATGGGTGGGACTGCCCTTAATGTTTACTCTTGGCTGCTCTGAGGTTCTGCACAT